CCTCTCTGCACGTGTGCTCCCGCTGTGTTTGTGTGGCCGTCTGGCTCGGCTGGAGTCCCTTGTGCAGGGGGCAGGTTCACTGGGGAGGATGGGGGCAGCGTCCTAGTGCTTTCCCTGGACACAAGCGATGAGGGGCCCCCTCGGGGAGCCCTAGGCTGAGGAGGGGCAAGGGGGTTGCTGACAGACGGCAGCAGCAGCTGAGCAGGGGACAGCTGAGCCAGGCACACACTCAATGGGGGATGGAGGACTCCCCAGGCCTGCACGCCTCAGGGTCCTCTCGGCCAGGAAAGGCACCAGGGCCTGCGCGTATGTGCTGGCGCCTGTCAGAGGAGGCCCCACGCCGTGGCCATGGGTTCATTCTCTCTCCTCGGGTTAGCTGGGCACAGGGGCTCTCCTGGCTGCCAGGGCTGGGAAGGTGTTGCTGAGTGGGTGTGTCAGTCTGTGGGCTGTGTGTCTGTGTTGACAACAATAGCAGCATTCCATCAACCAAACTCTGCCTCTGCATCAGGCCGCTGCTCGGCGGCCCTTGCTTCTCACTCCATGCTCACATTCTGAAGTAGAAATGATTATTATGCCCATTATCCAGATGAGGAAATCGAGGCTCAAACATGCAAAACTGATCTGCTCGAGGTCATGGAGCAAGTAAAAGGCAGAGCTGAGATTTTAAACGGGATCAGAAGCCAGGCTCTGTATCCCAGCCTGTGGTCTAGTGCCTGTGCATGCTGGGGTGGGGGTGCGTCTTCCGTGCTCTCCATGTACACGCAGGTGTGTACAGGTAAGCAAGTGTGGTATCGGGAAGCCTAAGGAATTGCCCACTTCTGATCCTCAGGCCCCTGAGGACTGCAGGGAGCTGCCCGAATCAGCTGGCAAAGCTGGAGCCCCCACACACGGACAGACCTCCCTCACCCCACCTGTGCCCTCCCCTGGCAGTGGAGCTAGGAGTCGCCCCAATCAACAGTAATGTTCCAGACCCCAGCTGTCCCCCTCCCACTCAACAGCTGACCCAGCACCTGCCTCCTTCCCCTCCCTAATTAGGGGGCTGCGAGGCAGGGCTCCGGGGACACTCATCTGCCTAAGAGTCTGGGCCTCGGCAGGTCAGCAGCCAAGGCCAGGCTTTCTCAACCTCTGTGCCACTGACACGGTGGGAGCCTGTCCTGTCTGGTGCGCTGCAGGACGGCCGCCAGCACACCTGGCTCCGACCACCATTCCAGCTGTGACCAATCAAAAACGTGTCCCCTGGCCTAGGAGAAGGGGGCCAATGCTCACCCCAGAACTGTCAGGAACACAGAGGGGACAGAAGGGACAGGGTTTGGGCAGGGAGGTTCACAGGGCCACGGGGGAACATAACCAGATCTAAACAAAGCAGCCTGCAGCGTCCCGCTTGCTCTTGTCCAGGGGCCCACAAACGTCCACTTACACCAGACTGCAAAGGGGGGACAGCGCAGGGAGAAGACTGCAAACTGAAAGTGCAAACTCATGCCAACACCACTGCCGCCAAGGCTCACAGGTACCGGCACGGGACCAGGGCCACTCTGAGAAGCACCAGGGTAGCGCTACACTCGGTACTCATAGCTTAGGGCTACAGCGGTCAGATAACCAGGGCTCAAGCCCAGAGCCCGGGCACACTCGCTCACTGATTCATAAACTAATGGTATGGTCCCATGCATCTTAGCCCTTGGTGTCCTCAAGCCTTCCCCTCAACACCCACCACCTGGCCGCTGCCCTCCCCCCCATATACTGCCAAGGACAGACAGGACCCCCGGAAGAGGTTCCTGGGCATCCAAACACACCCCATCTATCCTGCTGCCCCCAACTCCTGCTACTGCCTACCACCCTGACACTCAACAAGCAGATCTGCACACAACAGCAGAGCACACTAGCACACCTGGCGCCCCTTCCACCTGGGGGATGGCGGGGGAGGGGGTGGAGTCTGCTAGGCTCGCCTGCATTGTCCGCCTTCACAACCACCATGGGCCGCAGAAACCACCATGGGCCGCAGAACCCCACGTTCTCTGTCCTCAAGGCCCCAGAAAGTGCGGCCAGACGTGCAGCAGGAAGTCAAAGCCCCTTGCATGCTTCCTCAGCCCCAAGGCCCCCACTCTGGCACTGGAGGCAGTGCTGGGGCCCCGCAGCCGCGGCCCCGACCCCGGCCCGGCCCAACCCCGCTCACCTACTGCACACCCCTGGTGCCCCGCCCGCCGGGACGCCCCCCGCCCTCCCCGCCCCCACACACCCGCCGCAACTCACAGGACGCAGAGCGCGAAGGCCCCCGCCACGCTCTCGCTGTCTCGGACCAGGAAGCTGCCATCGCGGCCCGCCCGGGCCAGCAACTCCTCTGCCGCAGCGCGGCTCAGGTCGCGGTGGTACCAGGCAGGAGCCGGGCTGCCCAGCGCGCCCCCAGGGCCCGGCGTCCCGCAAGCCGAGGCCATGGCCCGCGCAGCGCTCAGCGCCGCCCGCGCCCGCCGGCCCGCGCCATCCGCCCCGGGACGCTGGAGGCCGAGGCCGAGGCTGGGCCCGGGACCTGGGCTTGAGGATCGGCGGGCCGGCCCGGGATGGGGATCAGGGCTCCTCGCTCCGCCGCGCAGGCCGCCTCGCTCGCCGCCGCGCAGCCGCCGCTGCCTGCAGCGCCGGCCTCAACTTGAAGAGAAAGAAAAGTTTGTTCAGAGGCGGCGGGGGAGGGGCGGGAGCGGAGCTCAGGGCCCGGCGGCCGCCCCCTCCCCCTCCGCTGGGCCGCAGCCCGCACCTCCCCTGCCCCCAACCTCTTCCCGCGGGGACGCAGCCTCCACGCTCCTGCGGGACCCGAACCTCTCAGACCCCACAGCGACCCTGCCCCTTCGCTCCCCGAGGAAGTCCAGCCTCCAGCCCCCTCCGAGGGCCAAACCGCCCCCTCCTCGTCCTCTCCCGGACACTCGGGGGTCCCGGGACCCCCCTGGAGAAGTCACACCTTCTCAATACTTGGAATGAAATGACCCGCGAGCCCCCAAAAAAGGTCTCATTCCACCCCCAAATCCGTTCCATCCGAACCCCTACAGCATCGAGGGATCGGGCTCCCGAAATCTAGGGTGAGCCGGTCCCCTTCGCTAGGGCAAGACTCCAGCCTCCTCTTGAATTTCGACTCCCAACCCGGCCAGGCCCGCGCCCGACAGACCCCGCCGGGAATGGGGGTGGGGGATGGAATCCCCTCCATGGGCCCCAGACAAGGTCTGGGACCCTCGGCCGCTCACGCACGTTCCCGCCGCGCCCTGGATCGCCCCCGCGCCGCGGGCCGGGGTCTCCAGGGGCGCGGCCGTGCTAGGGGAGGCAGCCCTCGGTCCCCCGAGGGAAGGGCGCCCCCGATCCCCGGGTTCCCGACCTTCGGGGGCGGCCCCCCCGGGGGGGCCCCCTCCGGGCCCTCCCCCCCGGGGGGGGGGCCATTTAAAAAAGGCCCCTGGGGCGGGGCGGGCCCCCCCCGGGCCCGGGGAACCCGGAGGAGCCCGGCTGCCCGCTCCGTGCGGCTGGGAGAGGCTACGAGGGCAGACTCAGCGGAGACTCGGGGCTCGTAAAGCGCTCGGCACGGGCCCGGCCTCCGGCGGGCGCCCCCGAGGGGCGGCTATTTCTGTTATTAATGAAGGAGGAGGGACGGTGACAGCTGTGCAAACTGTAAAGCGCGGCGCGGGCCGGGCGGGTATTGTGAGCGCCCGCGCCCGCCCCCGCCTCGGCCCCGGCTACTCCCTCCGAGTCAACAAACTCGCGCCTCGGCGCCTGAGACGCGCGGACCCCGCCTCGCCCCCTCGGGCCGCGGGCGGAAGGGGGGTACGCGGCCCCGGGACGGGGGCGGAGCCCGTGGGAGAGCCTGGCCCGCCCCTTCCCAAAAAAAGACCTAGCCGGTGGCGGCGTCTCCCGGGAGTCCCCTTCCTGCCCCGCCCCTCCGCCTTGGCTCCTTAAAGGCGCAGGCCGCCTACCAGGCGCCCGCGCCGCCCGCTCCGGGGCGACAGTAGGAGGATCCCTTTAACCTGTCACAGAACTTTCACTTTGCTAACTTGAACCTGTTGACTGAGCCGGGTCACTCCGGACGAGCTCCTTCCGCTGTTCCAAATCCGTACAGCTTAGCCCCGCTGGGACAAAGCCTGGGACGTCAAGGGGGCTGTGTGGGGCCTTCCAGACTGGATAGGAATGATCACCAGGAGATCCGCCACCCACCCACCAGTGCTGCCAGATCCCGCCGGAAGCCCAGTAAACATCCTCCATTCTGGGCCGGGGAGCTGACCGCGGTGAGAGGGGGCACCCTGCGGTAGAGTGCGGGGTGTTCTCCGACCGGTACCCGTGCCTCTCGTTTGGGATGTGGAGACGAAGACTCCCCCGAGAGGCGAGGGGAGACCGAGACCAGAGACCCTAAGGCCGCTCAAAGACGGAGTAGCCCTCCAGGATGGACGTGTCTGCCGATCCCTTGCAGAGACAAAGACGCTCCTGCCCCCTGGAAAGTCCCGAGGGGATCCTAACCGGCTTCCAGCCACACCTCCAGGAGCCAGCCCAGTTGAGGTTCTTCAGTATTTCCTGTCCGGCACTCCTCAGATTGCCCTCCCCTGCTGGCTCCCTTCCTCCTCCGAGGATCACTACGGACTCTGCCCCCCCCCCCCCCACGGGCTGTTAGGCAGGGTGGAGTTTTCTCACGTTCAGAGACTGCAGCGCCGGCCCAGGGGGAGCTGAGGCAGAGCAGGGAGACAGGGTTGTGGGGAAGGGGACTTTTGGGAAGCAGGGAACAGGTGCGTCCTGGGCTTGGCTCCAGGTGGGGTTACAGGAGCACTGGGTCCCCTGGGGACCGTGAGGGGTAGGCACTGGACTCACAGGCTATCTAAGCAACAGCTTGGTTGAGGGAAGGATTATCAGCCCGCTTTATGGAGAGGAGACCAAGGTGTGGAGGCATGAAGCCACGGCTGCACATAGCTAGTGGCTCTGGAGGAGTCCAAGAACTATTCGATCTGTGCCCCATCCACCTGCAAAGTGACAGCCCTCATCAGAGCCACGTGTGTCAGTGTGTTTACTAGAGGAAACGCAAGCTGGGATCTACCATGCAGCAAGAACTGGGCAGCAGAGGGGGTAGGGAGTGGGTGGAGGCTTGCTGGGGCTTCCTCGTTTGTGGAGCTGAGCTGCGCACGGCCTCGCCATCCAAGCCCGAGTGGAGATCGAGAAGGACTCAGCCCAGGAGCCAGAGTGGCAGCACCAGGATCAGGCTGAGTGGGAGAGCCCCGACCCCACAGGGCACGGCCCCGGAAGTCCTGGCAGAGGCATAGAACCTCGCCACCTCCTCGTTGGGGTTACCCTGGTCGGGGTCAAACCACATCTGGATGCAGCGGCCGCTCCCACTGCTGTAGTTGCTGACCTTGTAGGAGTGACTCCAGAGGCCCTCGCAGAGGGCAGCGGGCGTGGGGAAATAGGACTCAAATGTGCGGCAGGTGGCCCCAGCCGGGCACCTGTTGACTCCTGCAGGGAGAGAGATGATGGACACCGACATTCAACCCCTGGCCCAAAGCTCATTGCGGGCCACTTCCAGAAATCCTCAACCAATCCCAAATCCTCAGCTCCCATCCCTTTCTCCAAGTTCCTCCTCCACACCCCCACCCCACCCCGGGACCTCACCTGAGGTCCAGTCCCAGCCCTTGTGCCAGTTGCTCTTGCAGGTGTGGGAGGTGCGGCAGTCCTCCCACCAGCGCTGACAGTTGTCTTTGCACAGGGGCACATCCAGGATCCGCTCCTTGCGCCAGCTCTGGTCCACCTGGTTGGCAGGTGGCGAAGGAGGGCACCCATCAGCCAGGGATGGGGGCGGCTGTAACCTTGAAGGGGACTGAGCTGAAAGGCAGCCTGGCTTGCCAGGGGAGGGGGAGAGCTGAGGGAGACACGGGTACCTGCTGGATCCAGGGCCCCAGGTTGGGGGAGCACTCGTACAGGCAGGTGTCCTGGATGAAGTGCTGCTTGCAGGCGGGCTCCATCTTGCCACAGTGGTCCCACTGGAAGTTGTACAGGCGGGACCCGTCCTTGTGCAGCTCTTGGCTGGTGCTGACGGAGCAGCAGGCGTTCTTCCTCCAGGGACTGCACTGGATGGGGAAGACACAGGGTGGAGTCCCTTCCGAATCTCCTGCCACCCTCAGCGTCTCCCCATTTGGTTCTTGCCCCCCTGCTCCAGGCAGGTTGTCCTGGCAACACTCACCGATAGGGCCCCAGCAATCAGGGCCCCACCAACCAGTGAGAGCTGAGGGGAATCCTGTGGTAGGACAATAGCTGTCATGCACATAGCACTGAACACTTAAGAAGATTGGTTCATCAGAAAATACTTATTGAAGCTGGCGCCACAGCTCACTAGGCTAATCCTCCGCCTTTTGGCGCCGGCACACCGGGTTCTAGTCCCGGTCGGGGCGCCGGATTCTGTCCCGGTTGCCCCTCTTCCAGACCAGCTCTCTTCTGTGGCCCGGGAGTGCAGTGGAGGATGGCCCAAGTGCTTGAGCCCTGCACCCCATGGGAGACCAGGATAAGTACCTGGCTCCTGCCATCGAATCAGCGCAGTGCGCCGGCTGCAGCAGCCTTTGGAGGGTGAACCAACGGCAAAAGGAAGACCTTTCTCTCTGTCTCTCTCTCTCACTGTCCACTCTGGCTGTGGAAGGGTACAAAACGGAAACTAAATTTGCAGAAAGAAAATACTTATTGAACAGCTACTCTGTATCCTATTCTAGATGCCAATGTTGCTGGTCTGGATGCTGATGTCTTTAATATTTCTCTTCTTTTTTTTTTCTTAAAGACTTAGTTTATTTTATTTATATGAAAGGCAGAGTTGTAGAGAGAAAAAGGGAGAGAGAGGCATCTTCCATCTGCTGGTTCACTCCTCAAAGGGCCAGACCGAAGCCAAGAGCTTCTTCCAGGTCTCCCACATGGATGCAGGGGGCCAAGTACTTGGGCCATCTTCCACTGCTTTCTCAGGCTCATTAGCAGGGAGCTGGATTGGAAATGGAGCAGCCGGGGCACGAACCAGCAGACACATGGGATGCTAGCATCATAGGCAGCGGCTTTACTCTCTGTGCCATAGCGCTGGCCCCCGGCCTCTGTCTCTGATATTTCAGAGAATAGATAGAAATGTGTATTCATGGAACTTACATTCTAGTCAAGGGAAAGAGACAGTAAGAAACTGAAAGAAGAGATGGTGTGTCAGGATATGATAAATGATAGGGAGAAAACTAGAGCAAGGCATGAGAAAGTGGACTATGGGATGATTATTGAAATGTTCAATAGTGCAGTTGGGAAAAGCCTCACTGGAAAGTGACAGTTTGAGGAAAGGAGAGCGAGTGAGCCAGGCAGTGGTATCACTTACGTGAATTTATTGTTCTCAGCAAGTATTAAGGTCTGTGTCCCCACTATGCTGTGGCACAGTGAGTAAAGCCTGCAGTGCTGGCATACCATATGGGTGCTGGGTCCAGTCTCGGCTGCTGCACTCCTTTTTGTTGTTGTTGTTTTGTTTTGTTTGTTTTTTTGTTTTGTTTTGTTTTTACAGAGAGAGAAGAGGCAAAGACAGAGAGAGAGAGAGAGAGAGAGAGAGCTGTTTCATCCACTAGTTCACTCCCCAGTTGGCTGCAACGGCCAGAGCTGTGCCAATCTGAAGCAAGGAGCCAGGAGCTTCTTCCAGGTCTCCCATGTGGGTGCAGGGGCCCAAGGACTTGGGCCATCTTCCACTGCTTTCCCAGGCCACAGCAGAGAGCTGGACCAGAAGAGGAGCAGCCGGGACTTGAACCGGTGCCCGTACGGGATGCCGGCGCCTCAGGCCAGGGCGTTAACCCGCTGTACCACAGCGCCGGCCCGGCTGCTGCACTTCTGATCCAGCTCTCTGCTATGGCCTCGGAAAGCAGTAGAAGATGACCCAAGTCCTTGGGCCCCTGCACCCATGTGGAAGACCTGGAAGAAGCTCCTGGCTCCTGGCCAACAAAAATATTGAAAGGCCTATTCATGATTCTCTAAATCTAAACCTAACTCCATCCTACATATAAACGTGTTGTGTTTTAGCAAGTTTTTAATATAGACTAGGTTTTCCAGAACTGAAAATACCATGAAATGGAAGGCCAGGCTGGAGCCAGGAGCCAGGAGCCTGGAACTCCATTCAGTTCTCCTATGTGGGTGGCAGGGACCTAAGCACTTGGGCCATCTTATGCAGCTTTCCCAGGTGCAATAGTAGGAAACTGGATTGGAAAAGCAGCTGAGAGTCAAACCAGCACCAATATGGGATGCTGGCCTCATAGGAGGTAGCTTAACCTACTGTGTGTGTGTGTGTGTGTGTGTGTGAGAGAGAGAGAGAGAGAGAGAGAGAGAGATTTTTATTTTAAAATCAGAACACACACACACACACACACACACACAGATCTTGCATCCAGTGGTTCACTCCCTAGATGACTACAACCGCCACGGCTGAGCCAGATAGAAGCCAGGAGCTTCATCCAGGTCTCCCACACGGGTGGCAGGGGCCCAAACACTGAGGCCATCCTCCCTTGTTTTTCCTAGGCCATTAGCAGGGAGCTAGAGTGGAAGTAGAACAGCCAGGACACAAACCAGCACCCATAAGGGATGCCAGCATGGCAGGTGGTGGCTTTACGCACTATACCACAACGCCAGCCCCCTCTATTATGCGTTCTGATACGCTGTGTTACTCAGTGTTTTAGAAAATTGTGTCATCGGTGGCGACACTGCTTAGAGCATCTTGCAGCATTTGAGTTGCCGATAGAACATAACCTGTGTCAGACTTCATTTGTGGCTGCCTCATAGTGGATTTTGCGGATAAAACAAACACGTGCTATTTCCTGATACCTTTTAGTGTAGCCGCCCTGGAGAATGACCTGCGTATATATCACTGCTCTTACAAATGGCTCTCGTTTGCTTGGATGTGTCCCCCAGAGTTCCTGCGTGGGACACTTGATGCCAGTGCAAGGTTGTTGGGAGGTAGGGCCTGACAAGAGGTGAGTAGTGACGTCATCTGAGGCATGGCCCCCTCTCCACGGGGAGTTGGCCCTCCCTGGTGCTCTTGCTCTCACCCCCTGTCGCCCTTGCGATGCCTCCTGCCTGGGGCTGATGCGGTAAGAAGGCTTCACCAGATGCAGTCCCTCAACCTTGGGCTTGACAGCCCCCAGCACCATGATCCAAATACATTTCTGTTCGTTAATAACGACCCAGTCCTAGCACAATACACAGTGAGACACTTCTCTTTTGTCTTTCAGATAGAATATTGTGTTGCTATTTTTTTTCAATTATATATACAAATAGGTTCTGTTAGCTTTGAGTTTCGTCACAACATAGAAGAGAATCTGAAACATTGAGTCTAATAGAGTTGCAATAGATTGGCATAGATTTTTCCAGGCTGCATGAATGTACACTTTTTTATTGGATAGCCCTGAACAAGTCTCATTTTCAACACAAGGCCCTCCGTGGAACTGGCCTGGAGTGAGGGTGGGATGAGCTACCGCTTCCGCGGTCTCTCACCCTCTAACCCCCCCGAGGAGCCCACCCCAGTTCTACCCCTACGCCACCACAAGGGCTGGCCCCGTCCCACTCCTGGGGTCCACGTGCTGCTGAGGGCCTCTGTTTCTCCTATTTGTAGGAGGCGGAGGACGCAGTCTTCAGAGAACCACGGGGACTATGGAATCACATGCAGAAAACACGGGGCAGCCACTGGGAGCTCAGGAAGTGATTATTCAGCATCACTACCGACACGGGGTCCCCTCCTGGGAAGGGCATCATAAAATCACCTCCACCGCTCCCCCTACTCCACCCTCACCTTCTGCCACAGCAGTAACCCTGGGTGCGGGCTGTCTGACCCCTCAGATCCTCCCCCAGCCCCGACTTCCTCGCTCCTGGCAGAGCCGTACCTGCGCGTGCAGCTTGTCCTCGGGGCCTGGCTTCACCTTGTGGTGCTTGGCATCCATACAGATGTTGAGCAGGTCTGCCCCATCCCGAGTGCTGCCCGTGGTGGCTGCCCAGGCCAGAAGCAACAGAAGCGATGGCAACGTCCAGGCCATGGCTTTCTGTCCCTGCCAAGCGAGCTACGGTGAAGGAGACGGAGGTCTGAGGGGTAGGAGTTCTGCGTAGGGGCCCCTCCACCTCCTGCCTCAGTCTCCCCACCCCCACAGCCCCAAGGCTGCACAGACTCCCTCAGGCTGGGGTAGAGAAGATGGCAGTCAGGGCTCACTCACCCCCAGGCTTGGAGGACTCAGAGGAGAATCTGGGGCCAGTGGGTAGACCGTGGGCCTCGGGAAGTCTCCCCTAGTAGGAGGAGATACCTGGAACCATCCCCATCTCTCTGGATTCTAGGATTTTTTTAAAAAAGATTTATTTATATATTTGAAAGGCAGAGTTACAGAGAGGCAGAGGCAGAGAGAGAGAATCTTCCATCTGCTGAATCACTCCTCCAGATGGCCACAGTGGCCAGAGCTGGGCCAATCCGAAGCCAGGAATCAGGAGCTTCTTCCGGGTCTCCCATGTGGGTGCAGGGGCCCAAGAACTTGGGCCAACTTCTGCTTTCCCAGGCCATAGCAGAGAGCTGGATCGGAATTGGAACAGCCGGGACTTGAACCGGCACCCACATGGGATGCTGGCGCTGCAGATAGTGGTTTTACCCTCTGCCACAGCACCGGTACTCTCTATGATATAATTAAACAGCTCAGGTCCATTACTTGTGCCCCTGAAAATGGCCAGGGCATCCTGTGTCCAGCCAGTACTGTGCAGTTAGACCCTGGGTCACTTAGAGTCCCCTGCCAGCTTCCAAACCCTGTTTGCCCTCGGCAGGGCGGTGAGTGGCCAGGAGCCCAGCTCTGCTGAGTTCTCACATTGGCCGGAGGATCAAGTGTTATAATCCACAGAGTGGCGTTCGGCTGAATTTATACAGAAACAGAAAGAGTACTGAGTTTTATTATTTTTTAGATTTTATTATTTGTTATATGTTTGTATTTATTTGAAAGACAGACATCTTCCATCCTTTGGTTCACTCCCCAAATGGCCACAGTAACCAGGTTTGGGCCAGGCTGAAGTTAGGAGACCAGAACTCAATCCAGGTCTCCTACATGGGTGGCAGGGACCCAAGTGCTCGAGCCATCAACTGCTGCCTCAAAGGGTGAGAAGCTCCCAGCAGCAAACTGGGTCAAACATGTAGCTGAGGCTGGCATTGTGGACTCATGGCGCTGGCATCCCAGATGAGTAACAGCTCCAGTCCCGGCTGCTCCACTTCTGACCTAGCTCCCTGCTAATGCACCTGTGAAGACCGTGGAAGATGGCCCAAGTGCTTGGGCCCCTGCACCCATGTGGGAGACCTGCATGAAGCTCCTGGCTCCTGGCATTGGCCTGGCCCAGCCCTGGCCATTGTGGCCATTTGGGGAGTAGACCAGCAGATGGAAGATCTCTCTCTCTCTCTCTCTCTCTCTCTTTCTGTGTCCCTGTAACTCTGCCTTTCAAACAAATAAATGAATCTCGATTTAAAAAAAATGGAGTGGAAACTCGAACCCAGGTACTCCAATATGGGGTATGGCTGTGTCTTAACCACTACACTCAGCGCTGGCCCTGGGATAGTGGCCTTTAAACAGCTTTGCTTCCTCAGACTTTTTTCTTCCTATTTTCTGAAAGCCATTTCTGCCTGTCCGCCTTCCTGACCCTGGCCTTCTCAGCCTTCTCTAGGCAAACGCACCAGAGGCTCCCTTACCTCTCAGAACAGACAAATGCACAGCCCCTTGGAACAGGGGGCGGGGGGAGGACCACCTTAACATGCCCCGTGTTGAGCAGCCAACCGAACAAACACTGGAGCCCTGGGCAGCGCCCAGCAAAAGTGACAGCCCCTTCTCCTCTGTTCACTCCTGCCTGTCACGCCAGCCCCACGCCAGAGCTGTTCCTTCGGCTCTGTCACGGAAGTATCCCCTCCCCAAGCCCGTGTGCAGTGGACCCCAAGGCCTGGCAAGGATCCCTCCAAAAACCTTCCTGGAGCTCACTTGCCTCCTCCAGTTTCTTCCCCTTCTTGTCATTTTCCCCACAGGCGCCAATGGGGCCTTCCTAGAAGGGTGTGTCCCTTCCTCCGCACAAACCCGCCAGGTCCCCCTCCCCTCCCAAGGACGTCTTGCCTGCACCTCCGCTGTCGGCGTGGCTGAGCTGGCCTCTACCTGGGCTGGCAACAGATCCAGGCCTGGGTGTCCCCAGCGGTCCCTGTCCTCCAGGCAGGGGCGACCGCGGGAGAGCTGACGGTACAGAACGAAATCGCCCTGCTCAGCTCTTCTTCCTCCTCTCTTGCTTCCTCCTCGTCTACATCCCACCCTTCAGTGTCCCGTGAGTCTGCCAGTTTCGTCATTCCTGTCACCGTTCAGCTCTTCAAAAGTCACCCCAGCCATTCCTGGATCTGCACATTCAACGGAAGCTGGAGAGAATCGCTCCATGTCCAGGGGGAACTGAAATCCTTGGGTACGCGCAAGTGGGTCCCAGGAAATTAGGGGGCCTTGCTGGAGACAGAGCGGGAGGAGAGGAGCCGGGCTCTGACGGGCTCCGTCTCTAGCACAGCCCGGGGGAAAGTCAAGGGAACCGGCTGCACTTTGGTTCATCACCGGAAATTGTCGGGAATCGCATGGAGAACGGCCTGGCATGTGCCGAGTGGGCCTCTGTGACAGCTGCCGGGGGAATGCGTGGGTAGCTGGGGAGACACAGAGGCTGAGTAAGGGAAGAAGTCAATGGATTTGCTCAGGGTCACAAGCACACACTGTTTCCTGTGTGATGAATGACAGTGTCTCTCCATCTAGCATTTCTGAGCGCTCAGTGGAGCAACCCTGATAGGATTTTTTTTAAATGTGGTTTAAAATGCCTTACACAAAATTCAGCATCCTAACCATTTTCACCATGTGGTTCATTGTGCAAGCCATCTCCATAACTTTCCATCCCTCGAAACCAGACTCTATGTCCACTCAACAGCTCCCCACCATCCCTTCCCCTAGGTCCTGCCAGGCAGCCTATTTCTGTGCGCATGAACTTGACCAGGTCTCTTGTGTAAGCAGAATCATACACTGTTTGTCTTTTTGTGACTGGCTTATTTCACTCAGCATAATATCTTCAGGTTCATCCATGCTGTGGCCTAGGCCAGAATTTCCTTCCTGTTTAAGGCTGAATAATGCTGTCTTGTGTGTATATTATCACATTTTGTTTACCCATATATCTGTCAGAGACATTTGGATCACTCCCACCTCTTGGAAATCAAGAAGAGTACTACTATTGAATGTGGAGGTACAAATGACTCTTTAGACCCCTGCTTTCAATTCTTCAGTAGAGATACCCAGAAGTGGGAATGCTGGATTATATGATAATGCCATATTTAATTTTGGGGGCACTTCCATATTGTTTTTCTTAGTGGCTGTACCATTTAACAGTCCCACCAACAGCATACAGGGGTTCTAATTTCTCCACCTCCTCACCAACATCTTTTCTGTTTTGTTTATTTTTAAACTCATAGTACTCGCTAGCATAATGAGTGTGAGGTGCCAGCTCATTGTGGCTTTGACTTGATTAATGATGTTGAGCCTCTTTTCCTAGACTCCTTAACTATTTGTATATCTTCTTTTTTTACCATTTACATTTTTATTAGTAGTGCCCTCTGAAGAATCAAAAGGTAGTGAACTATTTTAGACTCAAGTCTGTATATCCTTTGTATTCAGATTTTTAGTGTTCACCATGATACTAAACAAGCCAAAGAGACTGATTTCTGTGACCAGGTGCTCCTCGCTGTCGTTCTAAAGCAGCGGGCTGCGGGGAGAGAGGCTGTCCAAGGAGAACAGACGCGGAGATAGTGCTGGGTGATGGCACCGTGGCCTGCTGTCTCGCTCCCCGAACCTGCTGTGAAGGGGCCAGGATTAAACTCAACTGTTTCCTAAAGCAGCGGCTCTGCAGCCCGGGGCAAAAGACTGTGGTCCACAGCACAGAGGAGAGCGAGCCCGGGGCAGGGAGACTGTGGCCCACAGCACAGAGGAGGGAGAGCCCGGGGCAGGGAGACTGTGGCCCACAGCAGGAGAAAGAGCCTGGGGCAGGGAGACTGTGGTCCACAGCACAGAGGAGAGAGAGCCCGGGGCAGGGAGACTGTGGCCCACAGCACAGAGGAGGGAGAGCCCGGGGCAGGGAGACTGTGGCTCACAGCACAGAGGAGAGAGAGCCGGGGCAGGGAGACTGTGGCCCACAGCACAGAGGAGAGAGAGCCCGGGGCAGGGAGACTGTGGCCCACAGCACAGAGGAGGGAGAGCCCGGGGCAGGGAGACTGTGGCCCACAGCAGGAGAGAGAGCCTGGGGCAGGAAGACTGTGGTCCACAGCAGGAGAGAGAACCCGGGGCAGGGAGACTGTGGCCCACAGCACAGAGGAGGGAGAGCTCGGGGCAGGGAGACTGTGGTCCACAGCACAGAGGAGAGAGAGCCCGGGGCAGGAAGACTGTGGTCCACAGCACAGAGGAGAGAGAGCCCGGGGCAGGGAGACTGTGGCCCACAGCAGGAGAGAGAGCCCGGGGCAGGGAGACTGTGGCCCACAGCAGGAGAGAGAACCCAGGGCAGGAAGACTGTGGTCCACAGCACAGAGGAGAGAGAGCCCGGGGCAGGGAGACTGTGGTCCACAGCAGGGGAGAGAGCCCGGGGCAGGGAGACTGTGGCCCACAGCACAGAGGAGAGAGAGCCGGGGCAGGGAGACTGTGGCCCACAGCACAGAGGAGGGAGAGCCCGGGGCAGGGATGCAGGGTGGCTGCCTGGCAGAAGTTTCGTATTCTGGGCCCGCTGGAGAAAATTGCTCCTGCAGTCGTGGTCATCTGGGGTATAACCAACACTGAAGCTGTCTCTCTCTCTCCCTCTCTCTCTCTCTCTCTCTCTTCCTCTACCTCTCTGTAACTCTGCCTTTCAAATAAAGAAATAAATAAATCTTAAAAAAAAAAAAAAAAAGACTTCGTTTTAGCTTCTGCCTCCTCACTCTTTCGCTCCACTTCCCACTGGGCGTCTTGGATTGTCCAATGTCTTCGGCCCACTCAATGGTTTTCCTTTCCAAGGAGCCGTCACACTGCACTTCTCTGACAGCCTGAAGGACACTGCCGCCGTCCCAGAAGCTGAAAGGTGCTGGCGCTGGCCGGCCTCCCAGGCTCCGTCCCTGCTGAGCTCCTGGGGACAGCCCCTAGGGCCAGCTAATGCCACCACCTCCAACTCTGCTGGCCCTGGGCCAGGCCATCACTGTCACCATAGCCACCACCAGTTCCCCAGCTGCCACGTTGAAGTCCTTCTTCCCACTGTATATCTTCTTTGAGGAAATGTATATTCAAGTCTCTAACCCCATTTTTTCATCAAGTTATTTGCTTGTGTTGTTGTTGTTGAGTTGCAGGAGTTCTTTGTATATTCTGGGATTAACTCAGCAGATATACGGTGTATAAATATTTTCTCCCATTCTTTAGGTTGCCTTTTTGCTTCGTTGATTGTCCTTTGGTGCACAGAAGTTTTACGTGTTGGTGTAGTTCAGTTACTTCTTTTACTTTTGCTGCCTATGCAGGAGCACCTTGCCTACTCCAACAGCATGAAGCTCTTCCCCTATGTTCTGTCCAAAGGGTTTTAATCATTTTGGCTCTTATGTTTAGGACTTTGACTCCTGTTGAGTTAATTTCCAAATATTATACAAAGATGTATTCCTACAGATGTCCTGCACCTGGACAAAAATGTGAGATGAGGGTCCAACTTTACTTTTCTGCGTGTGACTCTCCAGTGGTGCTCCAGCTCCATGTGTTGAAAAGGTCCCTCTTTTCCCCGTTAGCTTATTTAGCACCCTTGTCATAAACCATTCCCTGGATAGATACACGTATCCAGCCTTATGCCAGCACCACACTGTCTTGGTTATCGTAGCTGTGTGGTAAGTTTTCAAATCGGGAAGCGTGAAACCTCTGAATTTTTTTGTTTTTCTTTTTTTAAGATTGCTCTGGCTGTTCTGAGTCTCTTTTATCTCTGCATGGATTTTAGAATCAGGTTGTGGCCGGCGCCGTGGCTCAATAGGCTAATCCTCCACCTTGCGGCGCCGGCACACCGGGTTCTAGTCCCGGTCGGGGCGCCGGATTCTGTCCCGGTTGCCCCTCTTCCAGGCCAGCTCTCTGCTATGGCCAGGGAGTGCAGTGGAGGATGGCCCAGGTGCTTGGGCCCTGCACCCCATGGGAGACCAGGAAAAGCACCTGGCTCCTGGCTCCTGCCATCGGATCAGCGCGGTGCGCCGGCTGCAGCGGCGGCCATTGGAGGGTGAACCAACGGCAAAGGAAGACCTTTCTCTCTGTCTCTCTCTCTCACTGTCCACTCTGCCTGTCAAAAAAAAAATAAATAAATAAATAAAAAAAATAAAAAAAAAAATAGAATCAGGTTGTACATTTCTGCAGAAACTAGCCAGCTGAAATTTTGACAGACTGAGTTACATCTGTAAATCAATTTGAGGAGTATACTGATCTTAAAATATGAAGACTTCTGATTGTTGAACATGGGGTTTCTCTTCAAATGCTTAGATTTTTCCGTTTCTTTCGGCAAGGTTTTGCAGTTCCAGTCACAGTGGTGTGGATACAGTTTGAGTGTTCCCTGAAGGCCCATGTTTGATCTTCAAACCTTTAATCAACCACAAATGGATAATAGGTTAAGGGTGAAAACTTAATCCAATTATGGTATCTGAAGGCAGGGCCTTTGGGAAGTGATTAGATTGGATTAAGTTGTTAGGGTGGAGCTCCTGTGATCACATCGTGGTGGCTTTATGATTCGCATTCGGCTGTCTCTGCTTCATGGCTCACCTTGGGATCCCGCCTCAGCAGGTGCTCCCCACCTTGCCATCTCCGGACTCTCCAGATGGCTGCACCAGTGGGGCCTGCCTGATCTTAGACTGTGAACCTGCAGAACCATGAGCCAAAATAAACCTTCCTCTCTCATAAGTAGCCTATATCAGCCATTTGCAGTGACAAAAAACTAATACAAGTCTTTTACTTCTTTTATTAAATTTATTCCTATGTATTTTATTTTTTTGACACAATTCTGAATGGATTCATATTCTTAAATTCATTTTTGTGTTTCTTCACCGCTGGCATATAGAGTACAAAGTGATTTTTATATATTGATCTGGCATGCTAAAACCTGCTGAACTCATTTATTAGGAATAATATTTTCATGGATTCCTTAGGATTTTCTATATACAGTATTATATCATTGTATACCTTGAATAGATTTATATATCATTATCCTTATACCTTTTTTTTTTTTTTTTAAGATTTTATATACCTCAGAGAT